AGTCAATTATCGATTTTTCATTCCTACTAATTACTTTTCTAGTGTATATATGAATATCTTTGTGCCTAAAAAACTTGTTCATCACTAGGAGGTCATTCTGGATGCAAAAGTCAATAATTGTCAGACCGTTATTTCTGATGTTTTCTCTTCCTATGACTTCCCCCGTCTGCTCATTGTTAATTCCGACTCTCCCATTCAAATCTCAAATAATGATAATTTTTCCCTTTAAGGTTTCTACTATTTCAGTTACCTCCTCCCAAAATGTGTCTTATCATCTTCGTTGGGTCCATATAGTATTAATGGATTTATTATGTTGTTTGCGGCAGGTGTCAGTTCGAATTTTAGGATTCTTTCTGATATCGCTTGCCATTTGTTTAGGTATTTTGTTATATTCCGTCTAATTAAACATCCAACGCCTCCCCTAGCTCTAGATAATACCTTACGACGATAAAAATTGAGGCCCCCTATGTGGGTATGATATTCTCGTGGAGATTTCAGTCACTCACCTACACTTTGCGCTATTTTCTATTTAACCAGCGAAATCCACTGTTTTTTGCCTGACGATTTAATGAGATCTGGACATATTTTGAGAAATACTGTCGCAAAAATGCCGCATACAAACTCTTGACGATCTGTCAACGACTATTAGTTGTTGAATGCCGAGGTCATTAGTAAAAAACGAGATTTTACGTCTTTTACGCGTAAGTTGAATGGTCATCCTCATTTTTTTTTATATTTGCTTCATAAGTTCTTGTATTATCAGTAGTAGTTGTATTGTATTGTAGTTATATTATCTAGTAGCTATCCGGGTTTCCCTATAGTTAATCTAACAAGTTCTCAGACATCTTGATTATTTTAATTTTATTTCGAACAATGGTCGCCTATATAGCCAAAGGAAACATAGAAATGGAACAGTGGAAGTAGGTATAGCTAATTTATCGCTTTCGCGGAGCCCAAAATTTATTATCCAATTATTCCCATATTTAAAGATGCGAAAATTAATTTTTTAAAATTTTTTCAATCGGAGCAACCCATCTTAGTAGGACCGGCCACAGTACTGAAACCTGCGGCACCCCACGTGTGATTTCCATAAAGCTATTTTCTCCAATTTGTAGTAACCTCTCCGAGAGGTAATTTTTTATTATTTGTGTCTTTTTAGATCATCCAAGATACCCCTGCATGGTGCCAAGTTAAACACATTTTTGACATCCAACGTAATAGCTTCCTGTTCTGCTCTGTGCTATTGGCCTTGTCCACTTCATCCATTGTCCTTTTGATTGCGTCTATTGTAGATCTATTTTTCGTTAAAACAAACTTTGTTAATAAGATGCTCCAGGAGTTTCCCTATGCATTGTAGCAGAAACAGAGGCCTATAGAATACAGGCGTTTGGTTCTCCTTTCTAGGCTTCTCTAGCAGGACTAGTCTAGACTGTTTCCATATTCTCGGGAATTGTCCTCTCAACAGAAGATCATTCATTGCATTTCGGCAGATGTCTGGTAATTTCTGCGCCACACATCTTACAATCTCGGGAGGTACACCATCTGGAACACTGTTTTTTTTTTAACTTTATTCTAATGGCCGCTTCTTGGAGCTCATTAATTGTGAACCATGGCACTTCCTCCTTTCTAATTTCTAATTTTCTAACTTTCTAATAAACACCCGGCTTCATTTAAAATAAGGTAATTACGCGCTGTGAGATACTTGTGCGATACCCTGTACAACTATTATCAGAGCACATTTAAGCAAACACAAATTTAATTCAACTCGAACGGATTTTTATGTTGCTATGTACTTGTTCGGATTCAAACGAATGTACAATAAAATCTTTCTAGTTTTGTGATTTTACAACAAAGTATCTTATCTTGTAGGACCTACTCAGCTCTTGTGCTGAAGTGTCTATTTATCACACGTTTGCAAAGCCTCGTGGCTTTATCAATATTTTTAAAAGCACTTTTACCAGTATTTCTGTACCCGAACACGTACCCTGAAACAAATTACGGAATTATAGATATTGGCGTTGCGATTTAATTTTAAAGAACATTTTTATAGCATGGATAAAGTGCATGCGTTTATGCTTCTTTGCAAGAAAGTTCCGTTATAGTTTTCCCTTTCAAATTTTCTAATTTATCTTATTTTTTAATTAGCAGAGAAGCTAGATAGCGATTACTTTTTTACTTTTTTATATCATAGGTTGTTGAATTATACTAAAATTTTCAGATTAAATTATCAGTAGTCGTTCGTGAGTTACACTCTGTTATATTTAGGATTAAGATTTAGGATTCAGAGGAAAAGTGAATGATTGGATCATATTAAATCAAATCAAATTGATTTCTATAGACCTGATTTCAGGTATCGGAATAATGTCAAAAATACAAACAATATATTAAACATTAAAATAATATACAAAAATAAAAACGATTACAACAATATGTTATCGCAGTCAAAAAAATAATTTAAGTATAAAAGGCATACCGAAGTAAATTGGGTTTTACACGGTATTTGAACTTACCAACACTATGTGTCTATTTCAGTGAAATAGGCAAATGATTAAAAGTTTTATCAGCAAAAAAACCGGACTATGGGCAAGTATAGACAATTTACGGTTATTTTGAAGTGGTTCATAGTTACTAGGATTCGATTTATTAATTATAAATAAAAAGACCAGAAAGAGTTAGTATTCCCATATCAAGAAATAGTTGACGACAAGAAAAAAACCTAGGTTTAAATAACATTGTGCTGATGATTCGCTTGTGCAATCTAAATACTCCTCCGGATCGTGATGCATTTTCCCAACATACTAGCTATAATTTAGGTACGAATAAATATATACAAAATTATAGAAACCAAATTTAGGAAGTTGTTTTTAAACTATGGTCTAGTTTTTTAGTCCAGGTTAAATGGGAATCAAACACCCAGAAATCTGGCTACTTCTCCCTGCTGGATAGTTTTGTTATTCAATCCAACTAAAAGGCTTTTTCTCAAATCCCTGCAAGAAAACACATGCAACTCCGGCTATTGCCCAACTCTTGTAAACTATTGCTAAACATACGGACGCAAACAGACATCGATAACTGTCCCTAAAAAAATCGTTTACAACCGTCTTTAAGCTTTACTAGTAGATGTATAGTGCCGATATAAGCAACAGAAACCGTACATAACCTCAATTTCCTAACCCCCCCGCAGCGGGGGCCCCCCGCGCGTGGCGTCCTAGTGTCCCCCCTGTCTACCAGAGTGCGCTCCGCCCCCCACCCAGCTTGTGTAGCGTCCTGTTTTGCCCCGGTTCCGCCCGTCGCTGCTAGATGTCGCCAGCTTGTGTAGCGTCCTGTTTTGCCCCGGTTCCGCCCGTCGCTGCTAGATGTCGCGCGCTCCGACCGTCGTAGGCCCCCCCGGTAGAGGGCGGTGACGGTGCGGCGCGGTGACGCGGTGGATCGGGAGGATAATTAAATAAACTTGAATTTTAATACATTTTATTTTATTTTATTTATAAAATTGGTCTGGCGAGGAGTTTCTTCTTCTTTTTATGTCGATTCAGTCGACCATCCCATTGTTCCTGTTCCTTGCGTTGTTCTTCTTCCCGTTCCCGGAGGAAATCTAAATACGAAGTGCACTCCTCGCCGTCCCACTCCGTCGACCACCCACCCGGGTACTCCTGCTGCTCTTCTTTTGATCCACCGGGTTGCTCCTGCTGCTGGTGATGTTCCCTTGTCGTTTCATGTCGTACCGGGAATTCTAACCCCCGGTACTCTTTGTGTGATTTGAATATGTGACGCCCTAAGCGATGCGCCAACATAATATGCGACTTGTCATACGGACAAACCGCGATTTTTTCTAGAACAAAACAAAGTATGATATGTAGCGTTTCCTATAAAACACACATTTTTTTTTTTAAACAAAACTTCCAAAAAGGGGGGTTATCAAATTATTTTAAAAATTGTTTTTTAAGTTATACGCGCATACCAAAATTCACGTTTCAATTCACTGTCATTTAAATGTAAGTGTATTATTGTCAAAAGGGCAAACTGCAATTTTTTAGTACAAAAAATAAACAAAAAAATGTATATATTTCGCGTTTTCCCCATAAAACGCACATTTTTGAAACAAAACTTTCAGTAAGTGGGGGGTCATCAAATAATTTTAAAAATTGTTTATTTTTTAAAAGCCAAAATTCCCTATTCACTGTCATTTAAAAGATATTAAAAACGCTCAATTTAATTCGATTATTATTGTCAAAAAGGCAAACTGCAATTTTTTAGTACAAAAAATAAAACATATTTCGCGTTTTCCCCATAAAACGCACATTTTTGAAACAAATTTAAAAATTGTTTATTTTTTAAAAGCCAAAATTCCCTTTTCCATTCACTGTCATTTAAAAGATATTAAAAACACTCAATTTAAATCGGTTATTATGCAACGTAAAAAAGATGAGTATCATATTTTAAAAACAGGTAGAAACTAACCAAAAAAGTGATAACCCAAACTGAAACCCACAAGAAAAGACGCGCACTGTATAAAGGTAATTAAAATATAAAACTTACCAGTTGTAGGGTCGTAGGGAAATGGACATCGCACTTCTGTATTCATTGCACTGAATATAGTCTATAATACACATGCAACGTATTTATACACATGCACTCCTTCCATGGTTGAATTAAAAGTCGAAAGGTCTTCAACCCACAAGCACCAACGCCGATTTGAATAGACGCGATGTTGTCGCCAGACAACCGTGCAGATAGGAGTCTCAGGGTCAACACGCTTTCACACGGGAACGCAACCGCTTCGGACGTTGGACGAACGTATGTTGCCGCAAAAGATCAAGGCCAACTTGCTTTCATTTTTTACAATCTCCGTATGGGATGTGGAATTTCATAACGCGCCGAGTCTAAATGTCGAGTTGTTTTGCTTGTTGAGAATAATAATTAATTGCCCCCTTTATATTTGCTCCGTGGGATTAACGTAATGGGAAAAATTTGTTGCAACGCATGTGGAGGTGTCTTCGTTTGTTAACTTTTAGAAAGTATTCTCGCACCGTATAAATACATCTCATTTTTCTCTGTTTTGTCAGTAGTTGTTTTTGGTATTATTCGTGCAACGTGGAAGCTAACTTAGTGGTTTGGTGTTCGTACAAAAAAGCAGTAAGTACCTTTTTTATTGTTTTATTTTAATTCTTTAACATTTGTTATTATTTTATAAAGGTCCTAAAGATCATCTTAGTACTCTCAACCCGTAACCGCAAATAGAATAGCAGCCAATCTTAAGCGTAAGTTTTTTTTATTTTTTTTATTTTGAGATAAAATAATTAATAATAATTTATAGATGGACTTAAGTCAACTGAATCAAACCTGTCTTGCAGAAGGTGATTTTGAGCAGCCGATTGTCAAACTGCATGAATTGCCGATAGGCGTTCCGTTTAAAATTACTAGAGCCAAAATTGTTAATACAAAATTTGGCAATTCCGTGTTGCTGCAATTAGAAAATTCCGTAGTATTTCTTCCTACTCGCGTGACAGAAGCTTTCCGTCCGAGACTAGAACACTTTGCGTCGGGGCAGTACAAACTGGTCTACGAGGGATCCAAAGATATTGGAAAGCCCAACTCTTTAAAGAAATTCAAAATAATTCAAAATTAATCAACATATTATACAGGGTAAGTCTTATTTACTGTTATATATTTAATAAACCACGATGCGCGTAAAGCAGATCATTCATAGAGCGCAAATCTTAATTTTAACCTTACAAAAATTAAAAAAGCATATTTCCGACAAGTTCACTCTTAGAGATAGTGATGTGTGGCTTAGGAGACTAAGTAAAAATATTGAATCTTGCAACCAAATCGTTTCTAACGAAAAGGATTTATCTATTGGGTTAAAAAGAAAATTACAAACTACAATTCAACATCTGAAAGCTATTAGAAAAATTATTCTTAATTATCAACATAAGCATTTTGGATTGGGATTACAAAGTAGTAGCCGCGAGACAAACACAAATGAAATGGTTGTATGGGAATCGGTAGCATCGTGTTTCCAGGGAAGAGTTCAGACTGGTGTCATAATTAATTTACTTCATAAAGATTTAATTCAATTTTTAAACGATTCTCGTCCAATATTTCAACAAAAAATTAGTCAAATTTTAAAGAAATTTTTATTGCTGAAAGTAAATACCACATTTTGCGGTGAATTTATTAAGGCAAAAAATGATGTCCAAGGCGAAGTTGATGTTAAATATCTGAGTACCGGAAATGCTGTAGTTGATTTAGGAACAGAATTGAATGATTGGTTTGTTGAAAATGTGCAAGATAAAATTTTAAATCAAATGTCAGAGTTTCAGGAACGTGATTCCGGGTGGGCTTTAAATAATATTATTTATTTAGAGATTAACATTAATAAATTTGAAATGGGTAACGGATCATCCTTCGTTGTGCGACATTGACCAAATTATGATTATCGAGCGGGCTATACGAGGTGGAATTTCGGTGTGTGTTGGTAGATATGCGGAGGCCAACAATAAATATATGCCCAACTACGATTCATCCAGGGATGATTCCTATATCATGTACTTTGACGTCAATAACCTCTATGGCAAGGCCATGTGCGAGCCTCTTCCTTACGGAGGATTCGACTGGATGTCTCATCAAGAGATTGATTCATTTACTGTCATGAACATTCCAGATGAATCTTCCCAAGGATATATCCTAGAGGTAGACCTGGAATACCCGCAGAAATTACATGACACACATAGAGATTTTCCATTTTGTGCCGAACATCGAGTGCCCCCCAATTCAAAGTTACCAAAACTAATGACTACTTTGTATAATAAAGAAAAATACGTCATACACTATCGCAATTTAAAACAGGCTCTCAAAAACGGTCTCGTACTAAAGAAAATTCACAAAATATTAAAATTTAACCAATCTCGTTGGTTGAAATGTTATATCGATCATAATAATAAATTAAGAACCCAAGCAAAGACAAAATTTGGTATAAATTTATACAAATTGTTTAATAATGCCGCTTACGGTAAAACAATGGAAAACATTCGCAAGCATCGTATTGTTAAATTTGTTAAAGCGTGGGATGGTCGCTACGGTGCGAAAAATTTAATTTCTAGTCCTAGATTTCACAGTAGAACCATACTTGATAACAATTTGTTGCTTATAGAATTAAAAAAATCGGAACTTTGCTTTAATAAGCCACTTTATATTGGAATGTCCATATTGGATTTGTCGAAAACGACCATGTACGAGTTTCATTATAATTACATGCTTCCAAATTTGGGTCCCGAAAAATGTAAAATTCAATACATGGATACGGACAGTTTCATTTATAATATCAAATGTTATGACGCATATGAAAGCGTTATTAAGGCCGATTTAACAAAAATTTGACACGTCTGATTATCCTAATGACAATCCCTATAATATACCGCAAATCAACAAAAAGGTTTTGGGGTTGATGAAGGATGAGACTAATGGCACCATCATTAGTCATTATGCGGGGTTAAGGTCGAAAATGTATACTTTCAAAATTTTAACGGGTTCGGTAGTTAAAAAGTCAAAGGGTATTCAGTACAATATTGTAAAAAATAAAATTTCATTTGATGACTACGTAGAATGCTTAACAAATTTTAGGGAAAAGTACGCCACTCAACGAACCATTCGTTCATACACTCACAATGTATTTAGCATCGAACAAACAAAAGTTGCCTTGAGTCCTTTAGACGATAAACGTTATCTTTTGCCGAATTCATATGAAACGCTTCCGTGGGGACATTATAAAGTGCCGTAATTATTTTTTAATATATTTTTGTTACAGATTATGGTCAAACAACTTACATTAGAAAGCCTTTGTATTATAACAATTTGCGAAAATATTAGGTGTAGTGCTGATTTTTTGCTTGAGTCACCTTTGCCTTGGAAACTAACGATACTAATATTTAAATATTATTCGAAATATAGATGGAAGTACCTTAAACAATTAGCGCTCCAGTCTGATGGCAATTCTTTATTAAATTTAGAATTCATTCTGTTGAATAAGAGATTTGGATCGTCTTACAGAAATAGCATTTTGGCAACTCCAACCATTGATTTTGACGGAGAATCCGCTTACTGTTTATGGGTCAGTTATTACAGGATAAAATATTCGGAAATTTTAGTTTGTAAATCTTGTCACTTTATATTTCAACTAGTTAAAAAATTTAAAAAGAAAAATTTTAGACTTTTATTGGATCACTATCATTTACAGCTGGATATAAATAATTTGAATGATGTATATCACGATAAACAATTTTGGTGTCAAAGCTGCTTTGAAGAAGTTTTGTTCACTGTAGAAACTGAAGATGAATGTAATTTAATGCTTCACGATGAGAGGAAATATGGAAAAAAGTTACGCTTTTCTGATAGTCCATTGAACTATTAATACTGTGGTTTTATTATAACATATGTAACTGTAGATAAGACTTTTATGTATTGATTGTATTCCATTGTATTGCAACAAGAATAAACATGTATATATTTAGACGCTATTTTCTTTTTTACCACCACCACAACACCGCATAATAATTACACAGAAGTTTGTAATTGTATAATTTATTTATTATATACATTATTACTATTTTACAATTTCGTTAAATGCTAAATTATTAAATTGTTCTAGTTTTCTTTTGCACTCTTGAGCTTGCATCCGCGCCACTTGCAAGTCTGTATTAAAAAGCGCAATTTGTGTTTCAATTTCGTTGATATTGCACTCTAATCCCGACAACTGAGACGCCAAGTTTCTTTTTAAATTGAATGCCTCACAAATGACACTTTTTTCTCTACCGTCCGTGAACACTTCGAGCCAATCAGCGGATGACGTTGGAGCTGCAAACGCTTCACTTGTGGTAGTTTTCTTCTTCTTCTTGCGGGATACGACCGACGCACTTTGTTTTCGTTTGGTCGCAGATTTTTTGGTTTGTTGCTCTACAGGAACGAAGCTGGACGGGAGCACTTCTGATGAAGGAAATTGCAACTCGAAATTTTCCAATAAATTATACAATTCGTTGGATGTCACAATTTTCTCTTGAGCCATCATATACACGTATTTATGTCAGAACTTCTAAATCGAGACTAAATTTATTTCAAAACGTCTACGTTGTCTACCCACGAATCGTGCGACTTATCCAATCCCAACCAGCGCACGAGAACCATATTGCCTCGTCTGCGCAACACCTTTTCGACGAGATATAAGTCCGGGTTAACTGTCTTCTGCAATTCTTCTTCATAAAATCCGCCCATTATGGGTTTACCCTGCATATCTTGAAGCAAATACGTTACGGGGTTAGTAACCCGTACTTTAACAATTTTAAACAATTCCGTGGTCCAATTCGGTGTATAACCTTTGTTGAAAACGTGCTTGACTTTGCTGATTCTAACGATGTCGCCGACTTTAAGTTTACGAGGACCGAATATTTTTATGCTACTATACGCGGTTTTCAAAATTCTCTTTTCGTTGCTCTTACTCACATCGATGGGTTTCGTACCCGTCGTTCTATGTTTTGTGTTATTGTATTCATCAACGATAGAGGCGAGCACATCGATCCATTTGTACGTCCCGCGTAAAGAAAAATGTCGAAACAATTTCTCTTTGAGGGTACGTATCACCCGTTCGACAATTGAGGCCTTTTTTATGCTATACGTACTATAGTGGTTAATTTTATGCTTATCCACAAGTTTCAGAAACGTGTCGTTGTAAAATTCTTTACCGAGATCCGTTTGCAAGTTTTGAGGGTGCCGTCCGTCCTTGAGAATTTTGGAAAACGCCTTGGCGACTTCGACCCCGGTTTTGGTTTTCAACGGGCGACACCATACATATTTTGAGAAACAGTCTATCACAACCAGCACGAATTTAAAATTTCTGTTTTGTTTGCTGTAGCGATCTAATTGGGCCAGATCCGCTTGCCACAGGTCATCCATCCCTCGTATTATAGTCCGGCGGCGAGCATAATTTCTGCGTGCCGGCTTGTGCAGTTCTCGAACCAGTTGTACCTTCTCTTTATTCATAATGTGTGTTCGGTTGCGATGGAGGATTTAAAACCCTTTGTTTCAATACCTTCATTATATTCTCATTTTCGTTCGTAAGTCGCTCCATTTTGGTTACAATATCATGAAATTGCTGTGACAAAACGGCGACTTTTGTCATGTGCTTTTCCAAATCTTTCTTTGCGCTCATTTCGCTTAGCTTTTGGTGGAAAACTTCGCGAAACTGCATAATTTCATTTTCGAGTGTAGTGCTACTCATTTTCAGTTGTTCTTCAAGACGCGAGAATTTAGTTTTGTCTTCAATTTGTAATCTTTTCGTGTACGCTTCGAGTTTCTGTCCAATAATCTTTCTCAATGCAATTTTTAATAAATTACTTGTCTCATCCACATATTTTTTGTTAGCCACGTCACCGTCGTCGCTAGGCGTTTGGACATTGCAAATTTTTAAATTGTTCATATTGACGTTTCCGTCTGGCATATAGTCGAGGGCGCTTCTAATCACAGTATTAGTGAAGGGTCGTCGCAGCGCGCTAGAACGTCCAAACTTGTCCAGACTCATCGTTAAACTAACGTATAAAACCTGATTCTTTTAGCTCTTCAACGATTGAAACTATTTCGTTATCATGAGACGTGTTGCCTGCGTGTTTCGACGCGATTAGTAATTTCAGACGCTCTACGAGTTCATTGACGTCGTCCCAGTATACATATTCAGTAGGAGCGTCATTATAACGCATATTATAACCTTGACCGCTGTACGAGTACGAACGCGACTGAGATTTTATTAAGGGTCGGATGACCTTGGTATATTTTGGTACAGTCGATGCGCCTTTCAAACGTCCGATCGCGTCCCTGTGCACCTGGGTAGCCTCCATTATTTTTTTATATTGTGCCAAATCGTCTTTTGTGTATGCTATGGGATCTTTCAAAAACACCAAATTATACAAGCCGCGGGTACCGGAATATCTCTCGCCGTCTACAATAATATCGCCAGATCCTTGATGAAAATCCAGCGATTTATTGCCGAGAAACCATTTGGATGATATTTTGTCGTAAACGGGTCCGTAAACAATATCGGTGTCGGGCGATTTTACCCATAAATTTTGAATATATGAATGGGAAATTTCTGGATATTGTTCCAGGTATGATTGAAGGGATGCGTTGGCCACGCTCGATGTGTCAAACACATCATCTTCCTCCTCATCGATATTTTGCATCTCAACGCTCTTATTGGGATCCGGCGTTTCCTGAATTTCTTCCATAGGCAAAAATGATACGTTAACCTTATTTTTTGTTTCTTCGTTCGGTTCCTTTTTGTGTTCCCGCTTGACACCTCGACGTTCAGTTTTTATTTCTGCCGGTGACGGTGATAGCTTTATTTTTGCTATACGTTCTAGCGGCTCGCTGACGGGTTTGAAAAGCTTCCGAATTGACGCATCCTCTTCGCTCTTACCCAATTTTAATGTTAAATACTTCTTTCGAATAGATCTAGACAACTCGTTTACTTTTTTTTTTAGCGCCGCGTCGGCGATGTCGGCGGACGTCGCCTTCATGACTGTTTCTATCGACAATTAAATATCGACTTTTATATATTTATCGAAACCCTTGCGGTAGCGTCCGTTTTTTACGTCGAAATCTTTGACAATTATCAAACAGCCGTACTTTTCTTTCCAGCACTCGGAACAAATTTGTTTAAACGTGTCGTATGAAACGTCGGGTGAGACATGTTCATCATAAACGTGACGTAAATTCATGTCATCCTGTTTAAACAACGCGACAATATTGCAATTGTCACGTATCAATTGCTTGGGTACCTTGGAGTATGTCTGACAGAGATAAATAGCGTCGATGGCCTTGTGTCGGCACATCGAAAAATACTCGCGAATTTTATCTTGCTTGTCGCACGCCACGTCGTCGAAAATAAACAGAGAATTCTCTTTCGCATCGCTGGGGTCGATTATCGAGTCTCTTTCACTGTAGGGATAATATCCAACTCCTTTGACATTGCTCAATACGCGAGATAACAGTTGATATTTTGGTTGATACAACGACTTTGAGTAGACGTAAACATTTTCGAAACTTGCCCCGTTGGGGTTAAAGAGTAGCGCTAACATGGTGTTGGTTTTGCCGCAACCGCTAGGTCCGCAAAACACCGCCCTAAATGAATTGGGTAGCAGTTGACCGTGTTTGCTTTTGTTAAAGAAACCATCTCCGCAAACCAAATCTAAATTATCGATGGGGAGCTTGAGTTTCTGCTGCACCACCCGCATGACTACAATGTTTATTCGAGACACCTCGTATATATATATACGACACAAGCAATTTCCTTTAATTAGTATGTTATGCTTCGCGTCCGGAAGTGGTCTCGTTAACACGCTTATTAACAAGTTACCTTTTGAAGTACACATTCCGGGTTACCAGTTTTGCGGTCCCGGTACAAAATTGGAAAAACGCTTGAACCGAGGCGATAGCGGGGTGAATCCTTTGGACGCTGCGTGTAAGGTACACGACATTGCCTATTGGCAAAACAATTCGTTAGACGAACGTCATAAAGCGGATAAAGAATTGGAAACGCGTGCGTGGCAGCGAGTAAAATCTAAAGACGCAAAGTTTGGTGAAAAAGCTGCCGCATTCTTTGTCACCGCGACTATGAAAACTAAACGTAAGCTCGGTATGGGTCAACAACGGCGTCCCTCTGTTTCGTTTCGACAGGGTGTCGTGAAAAAGGTTCGCAATGCATTAAAGAAGAAACAATTGTTTCATATCGATAACCCTAAAATGCTTAGAAGATCGGCACTGGAAGCGCTTCGAGCTGGCAGAGCCGCTGTAAGAAAAGCGGGAGGACGTAAAAAAATTAGGGTACCTAGAATTATACCGTTCGAATCAAAATCGGGCGGTATTTTACCACTTTTACCGTTATTAGGAGCGCTAGGGGCTTTAGGTTCGCTCTCGGGCGGAGCCGCTGCTATCGCTAAAACTGTCATCGATGCGAAAAACGCACGAAAGAAACTCGAAGAGGACAACCGCCATAACCGAGCTATGGAAGAGATTGGAAAAAAGGGATCGGGTCTATTCTTGAAAAAGAGTCCGCGCGGCGGATTCGGTCTTTATCTGAAGAAACAAAAAAACTCCCAATAAAGCTACCCAGAAGGGCTCTATACGACGTCGATTTAATATCTCTGGCGCGCAAATTAAAAATTCCTCACTTCAGGGGTGTTTTTATGCGAGATAGTTTACCCCGTCGAATCAGATCGCAAGAATGCGGAATCGTAAATTTGGATGTTCGTCGAAATAGAGGAACCCACTGGGTAGCATACAAAAAGAGGAAGGGAAACGATGTTGAGTATTTTGACAGTTTCGGTAACCTTAAACCACCCGCGGAACTTGTTAAATATTTCGGCAACAGCGCCAATATCTACTATAATCACGATAGATATCAAAAGTTTACGCAATACAATTGCGGTCATTTATGTTTGCAATTTCTCTATAAAAAGGACTGAAATCGCGGACCTATAAGCAGTCAACATGTCGATCATATTTACGTTAAAAGGGAACACGTCGACATTATCCATCGACTTTGTCAATCCGCTGCAGTTGGATGAAGATGTAGAGTACGGTTTAGCG